CAACTACTTCTGCAAACTTGTTTCCGAACCCCTGCACCGTGGGCTTCATCCCCCTGCAAACATTGTTTTCCTTCCCTCTCCTTTCCCCACTGTGCAATCCCCAAATTGAGTTTCTTGGTAAAACCAAGTCTCACATGCAGAGCTGCTCAAACCACCCCACAACTTGGAGGTTCCCCATTGCAGCTGCCTCCCTCCCAAGGCGTCTGTTTAACCCCACTTTTAGCGTGAGCCCAGTGAGCCGGAGCCTACAAAGGTTGCAAAACAATGAAGCTTTTATCAAAACTCGGGCTAATCTGTTGCTAACAAGTTTCCATTCAGGAAGGGGCAAGGCAGGAGCCTGATTTGAATCTGAAAGTCACCCACTAAATGCACCACCAGGAGAGGAAAGTCAAGGGAGAGGGAGAAAGACAGGACTGGTGCTCGGCCTTGGGCCGGGAAGGCTTCCCCCAAGGCTTTGGTACCATGAATGCTCTGAAACAGCTCCSGAGGATGCTCTTCCATTTCCCTTTGCTCAGTGCGAACATCTGTTGGATCATGCAGGGAGCTGGATCAAGGCATTCAGCCCAGGCTAATACACACTGTGGGGAAAAAAAAGTGGAAAAGGAAAAAGTGGTGGATAAAGTTAAAAGAAGTGAAAAAAGGTGGGGGGAAAAAAGAAAAAAAAAAGCAGTGGGGAGGGTACTTTTTGACCTGGATCATTTTGCTGGTCCACAGCCACAAAAACACTCGTGCAAGTACAGCAGCCACGGCAGCGAAAAGAGCTCGTGTGGCTTGCAATAAACTGCAATGACTCACCGAGTGTCTTGTGGCCAAGTCCGTAGGGCTCCCTCACACTCAGCACCACATAAATGTAACAGGAAAAATATCTGTGACCCCAAAATGCTGCCCCTCTTGGCATTTTCAATCTGCAGCCTCCAGTGTTTTCAAGGAGACCGTGGAGAGCAACCAGCAACAAAACCCAATCAGGCCTGTGGTCCGTGGGCTGAAAATCATGGAATGAGGATACCTCCTTGGGAAATGTTGTAGGGTCTGAAAAGTCAAGAAAGGATGAAAACCTCTGATCTTATCAACTTATGTGGCAAAATTTGATCACCAGCATTTGCACTKCAGTCCAACAGGTTACTACATACAACAATGGAGGAATATATATTATTTTCCTTAGGTAACAGATAAAACTTAGTTCAAGCTGTATATACATACACAGAGCACCCTGCCATTTGAGATCATGGGTTTAAATTTAATTTGAGCTGTTCTTGGTCAGTCCCTTGCTGATATTCTTTAAGAATGAAGGTAGAGCAAAGGTCCTGGACCACTGCTAAGAAAAAATAAATAAAAAAATAATTCTACCAAATTGTCCTAGAGGTTGAAGAATTCACTCCCAATTTTGTTGATGACTCTGGAGGAAGATACAATCTGCACATGAAGAATTCTTTTATACGTGGGCCATGGAGTTACTGCCTTGCCTCCTGTCAGCCCTAGGGAGAAAGGGAGACTTCTATTGCAAATGCAGCCAAAACAAACCAAACCTGTGGTTCCGGCTTCACTGCAGCATTTGGGAGCCAATGAAAGGAATCTGGTCTCTATCCTAGCAGGAAGGCCAATAGCGACCAGTATGAGCTCTGAGGTCCGGATCCTGCAACCTGCTCCGTGTGGCTGGATCTCAGGGTTTGCAGGTTTGCCCAGCTCGGTGCAGGTTTTCGGGCCGCTGCAAGGCTGAGCGCTCGGCTCGGCAGCACTTGCAGGGTTCAGCTGCGCACACCTGAGCTCCGCGCAGCCAAGCTCAGCCTGTGCCTACATGTCAGAGGAGCGAGGCCTTAGAGGCAAAGGCAGCGTCTTCCTCCCCRTGCCTAGTGCCTCCTGCGGGGACAGCAAGGACCAGCTGGGCCCTGAAGGAATGGAATTGCTGGTGCAAACCAAGGATGGGGAAGACTTTGTGCTCCTGCAGTGCTTCCCCTCACCAGCTCTCGAGACGCTTTCCAAAGAGACTGGAGAGGCTGCTCAGCTCTGATCCAAGGTGCCATGTGCTCCTCTGCCCAGCCAAGCTCACGGCTGCTCTTAATGAACATCCCAGTGACTTAAYAATAACAGAGCAATTTCAAGGCATTGCTCAAGCCCAACTGACTTCTTGCAGTGACAGATGATCACCCCAGACACTCACCTTGCAACCAATCCCACCTTGGAGTGTCGGTCCCAGACTTGCTGGCCACTCTGCACATCTCTCCGAGGCAAACAGAGAGCAGGGTTTAGCCAGCACAACGGGAGAGCRCCGGGTTTCGCTGCTCTCCCCGTGCCTTGGCAAAGGGGGAGAGCAACAGGTTCGTACTGAGAGCTCGCAATGCATCGAGGCAATGCTGAATACCATTTGCAGGGCAAACACATTAAGAAAATGAAACATTTCTGAAGCCATCGCACCATCAAAGCTTTATTCTCTCCACTCTTTAAATTAAGTGCTGGTTTGCATATCCGTGCCGGCTAGGTAATAACCTTTCTAAAGCTATTTTTGTTTCACATTTCCTACTGTTTGGTAAAGTGAGCTGGAGTTTTCTGAGGACACGTGTTTTTAGTAGCGCTAATTCAGCAGGATTTTTCTCAGCTGTTTCCTTTKTTGGAGGCAGAGAAATGAAGGGAAGAGAGCGCGAAGGCTCCGACCTCCGGTGCCTTCCAGGGAATGTGCCCCTCGCGGCACCTCCTCGCAGCCAGCCCGCTCCTCTAGGTGGCTCTGCCCTTTTCCAAATGCACCAAATCCCGAAGCAAAAATTGTCGTTTCAAGGGATCCGGCTGATAGCTGCTCCTCTCCCCACTGGGGCTATCACAGACCTTGTGAGCAAACRCATGAACGCGGGCTTGTAGTTTTGGGGAATCAAACCTCCAGGTTGGCTCTCCAAATGCGAAAGGAATCTCCCTTTGAAAGCTACCTGCTTCTTGTCCTTTCAGTGCCCTTATTAGCTACGGTTTTCTGATAAGCTGCTTCTTTTAGATGCAGCTTTCTGCTTAGACTGCAAAGTATCATTTTTTTTCTGATGTGACTTCAGAAAGATGCAGAACAGTTGCAAATAATAAAGGTTTACAGGCGCAGAAGGAAAGGAGGGAAGAGACGGCTCACAAAATCCAACGTGGACATTTCTCCTGCTGYTGTGACTCTGCAAACGCGCTCACGATGCACACAGCGAGCTCTTCCCCAAGGAGATACCAAACAAAAACAGCAGCAGAGACGGAAAGAAAACAATAATAATAAATAATACAGAAAAAAAATCCTCTCTTGTGCTTAAAGGAGACCCTAAATCATTCTTCTTCATTGCACTGACTTTAAATGACTCTCTATTCCCAAATTATCTATTTGCTCACTTTAAAATGAAAACTAATGGCAGGAATTCTCCAGTTATCGTGTTCCTGCTTAAATGACCCAAGGGATGAAAACCTGTGATTTGATCCAACCCAGGAAAGCTGCTCGCTTTGGGCTTCCCCGATTTACAAGTACACTATTTTATTAAATATTTTATTATTTCCACTATTAAGTACTTTATTGACAACACAAAAGGGAAAGATTCTTTATAATTGATCTTCTCTCCGTTTGCTCCCCGAAATCCCGATGTCAAATCGAGACACATGCAGAGCCCCCTCTGCATTTGCATCCTGAAAGGGAGGTTCTACACACTTCCCATTTGTATCTTGAAAGGCGATTTTTTACGCATCTTTATCAGCAGAAAAGGGAATTGAATAACAATAATATTTAAGACCTGAGGATTTGCATCCTCAAAGCAACGGGGCAAAGATTCTCCAAATTCTTCCGTGCAGTTTGATAGCTTTTATTTTAATTTCCTTGCAAGGAAATTAAGATTGCAGGACACTGTGGACACGTGTGGTACCAGGGGTCCGCGGGGCTCGTCCTTTCTGCGCCTTCCCGCTCCAGGCGTGGGACACGGAGACCCCCAGGCAGTCGCCAGGATGGACCGACCCCTTCGCCCCAAACCCCGAGAGCATCGGGCGAAGCACAGGCAGCCGGCCACTAAATTATGGGAATTCCGGGAAAAAAAAAATACATCTGCAGATGAGAAAGTTTCCTTTATTTTTTTTTTCTTTTATTCCTAGAGAGCCGTGCCCCGGACCCGACGGGTCTCTCTCCCCGGCACAGGAGCGACCCCCCCACCACCTCTCTCAAGGTTCCGTTTGGCTTCAACGTTCAACGTTGCTCGCGCCAGGATGAATTTCGCAGCGCTCGAGCCCTGCGAGTAGCCGAGCCCGGTAGGGGCTCGAGCGGCACCGGGGGCACCCGAGCGGCACCGGCGGGTCCCGAGCGGCACCGGCGGGTCCCGAGCGGCACCGGGGGGACCCGAGCGGCATCGGGGGGACCCGAGCGGCACCGGCGGGTCCCGAGCGGCACCGGCGGGTCCCGAGCGGCATCGGGGGGACCCGAGCGGCACCGGCGGGTCCCGAGCGGCACCGCGGGAGAGGGGCTCGAGCGGCACCGGGAGGTCCTGCGGAGGAGGGACGGGGATGGGGCCGGGGGTCGCGGCGCTGCCCCGCGCCGCCGGTCCCCCCCTCCCCTCCGCCCCCGCGGGGCCCATCCAAACCGCTGGCGCCTCCCGCTGCCTCCCGCCCCCTCCCGCCCCGCTTTCGGGCCCCCTCCCTGTCCCGCGCCTCCCTCCGCCGCGCTACTGGCTGCGCGGCCGCGGGCGGGGAGGCCGCGCCGGGCTATAAGGGCGCCGGGCCGCAGCCCCCCGGGATT